CAGAGGCACAGAAAATGAAATTTTAATGCATGCCTCACTTCACAGAAACTCTCCTTACTACCCAGCAGCAAAGTGAGGCAAGTGTACATAGCTGTTACACAGCTGTTCCATAGTCAAAGTAGGCCCAACATCTTGTGCTCTTAAAGAAGAAAATAATCTTGGAGGGAAAAAAGGATTAATCAGCATATGGTGTGCAGCCCTTGATAAAACCAATGAGGGGCTTCTATCTGGCCCATTACCTTTTCTGTCAGAGGAAAAAGTTGACACAGTAAATATCTTTGAGACAACCAGAAACCCTCTCCTTTGTTACGAGAAATCATGGAAAGAGCTAGCTGAACAGTGACTTCTGTCACCATTCTTGCCACAGGCTGTTAGAGTACAAGGTGGTTCCTCTGGCTGTGATTCTGGTTGAGGAGCTGCTGAGATCTACCACCTCTATGTAGTTGAAGATTGTAGCATGATGGATATTCACTGGTTGGAAGGGTGACCAAAAGTGGCATTTCCTAATGTTGGATTGCTAGATTTTTGTCAACATTGTAAGGCAGTGTTAACGGTTTTGATTCCCATGTTTTTTTTAGTTGTAAGCTAAATACACCCTCTGTTGCTTAAAAGTTGCTTAGGGGAGCCCAGAATGCAGTCTCCATAGGAGTATGGTGAATGCTTCCTCCTTTATTCAGAGTTACAGACATATTTATACTGAGGGATGGGGTCCACGCGACATAAACAACGCTTTCATTGGTTTAACAACATTGTCCACCACCTCTAGATACATGCTAATTGGTTTAACACACAAACATACACGCTATCATATGCAAGCCTTTCGATTAGAGCACATCCTGGTTAGTCTTATCAAGTTCCTTTGTTCTTGTTTACAACGCGTGCAAATTCCTCCTTTCAGGGCCCCAAGGACACATTGTCCTTGTCAAAGCCGGGATTGTCCGTGAGATCCCATAGTATTTTATGGCCTTGTTGTTCAAGAAACTCCTCTACAACCCTCTGTACCCCTCTCTCCAGTTCTGTAACTTGCAGCATAGTGACAAGTGAGTCATGTGGGTCAAAAGCAGGACTGGAACTTCAGACACGTTAGACTGCTTTGGTTTCGGCTAAGAGTAATTTGCAACAATGGTACACCATTATCCTTTGTATTGTAATGCTTCAGAGATAGGTGGGAGTTTTTGCCAGTGGATTTCTGATGGAGAAATTTTGTGACTTGGGATCGTGAATATACCGTAGGTTCTTGAGTGGAGTGTACAGATACTTTCCCTCTTTTTCCTTATGTCTTTTTTCAAACTGATACAGGCCTTTCTCATGTTTGTTTGCATGTTACAGCTCTATTTTTCACTGACCTTTGCCAATGTCTGTCGTCCTTCAGAACATCATGGGCTGTTACAGAAAATGAAGAAAATATTTCCTGCTGTTTTAACTATATTTTAACAAAACAACAAGCTTTGGCTATCTTCATGCTTGCAAACAACAAAATTGTTTACTCTGAATCTTTTGAAGGTAGCTCAATGCAGGCAAAAAGGGCAGCAAATTTTATCTTTAGTAGTTAAAATTTGGAAAAGATGCATGAAACTAAACTGAGATTTCACAGTGAAAATGATACTAAATCTTAGTGTGAGCTTCTCATGGCACTGATATTACTGTTATGTTTTCCCTCCCTCTGCTTCTCTCTGTAATCACCCTCATGCGTGAATGAATGCTTGAAAATGTGACATTATGTAATGTGATTTTTAAGGGTGTCTGCTTTTCCAACCCTGAGATAAAAAGATAATTTAGAAGGAACACTGGTAAAATTTTTACACCTTAATCTATCTTTCAGCTCATATATGCCCTCTAAGTAAGGTGAATCTACTTTAGGCTTTTTATTTAAAGGTGATTATTTCATGTATACTAATAGTATTTGAGTTATTAACAATCAATTACATAAGTTATGGCAGGAATTATAAACATTTAAAAGTATCTAGACTATGTCTAGGGAGTTAATGTCTCAATGAAATAAATTGATGACCTTTTAGAGTGTAGATGATGGTCTGTGGTTGGATTATTCATAGATGTAGGGGAGTGTTTTGAGTCTGCACATAAATAAAAGTAAACTGTGATGCCACAATTCATGGCTTTTGTCATATCATTGACATTGTAATATATTTCACTATGACAAGAATGGAGGCATTTACAGACTTTGAGTTGACACTGGATACAATAGCATATAAAAATTGTAGAATCATAGAATGGTTTGGCTTGCAAGTAACCTTTAAAGATCATCTAGTCCAACCACCTTCATCATAAAGAATGCCTTCCTTATAGCTGATCTAAGTCTACCCTCTTTCAGTTTAAAATAATTGCCATGTATCTACTAAGGTATCTGTCCTTCCTCTATTACAAATACATACAATCACTCTGAACTTGTATTTGATACTTTTGCATCACCAAAGAAGCACAAGAGTATATATAATGATGTGACTTTAATATCTGGCAGTCCGCGTCCTGGTTTTGGTTTTTATTTCTTTAAAACTGGATGCTAGTCTTGTTCAGAGTAGTGGGCAATAAAAGAAGCAACTGTTGAATATTATTTTTTGTTTTCAGTGTTAAGTGGCTGTGTGTGTCATTTAAGGCACAGCTTTAACCGCTGAATACTAACCTTTCACAAACTTCTGCTTAGCTGCATTTATGGAACCATCTATGTCTTATTACTGCTAATGAAGTTAAATTTATTGATCTCATGTTAAGCAGTGAACTATTACTGACTTCTTTTTATGTTTATACCTGAAACAGTGAGATTGTCTGGCTTGCCTATCATCAATTTAAAAAGTCACTTAGAGAAACAGGTGTTCCTTAGATCTAATTGGTGTCTTTTAACAAGATGTTCCTCCTCTTGTGATTCCCAAGTGTTTTCAAATAACTGTGGTTATGATTAATAAACTATGTAAGATTTCAGGGAATAGAATTGATATCATATAAGATAGCATGAGAATTTGTTTGTTAGTTTGTTTTACTTCCTAGGGATAAGGTTTTGGTTTGGGTTTTTTGGTTGCTTGTTTGGTTTGGGTTTTTTTGTTGTTAGTTTGGTCTTGGCTCTGAAGCAATTGGATTTCGGTCTTTTTCCTTGTGATACAAAACTGTCAGTGCAGTGCCTTATTTGCAACTAACTCCAAGACTGTGCAGATACAGTTTCATACCATATTTATGTCACAAGTCTGTAAGTTTAACCTTTCATAAATGAAACAGCATAAAACCATAGTTGCAATGTAGTATAAGGAATTTCTGCAGCAATAAAATAGAGATTTTAAGAGGCCATTGCTTCTTAGCAGGACCAACAATCTCTGCTTCTGAAAATAACCATAGAAATTTCAGGTTGAAATATTTTGTTGGCAGAATTGGAAAACAATCTTAAGAAAATCAGTTTGCACTGTTCCACACACCAAACAGAAATGTTAGTGCCTCAATATTTTTTTTTTTTTTTAGTGGAACAGATGCTTTTCTAAGAGCTTGTGTGTATGCACATACATGCAAACACACGTATTCCAGGACAGGGCAGTCTTGTGGGTGCCTACAATGTTCACTGAGATTTCTAGTCAGTTGTACCCACCAAATCAGTGCATTCATTTGGCCTACTTCAATCTCCATCTTAAAGTATGAGGGTGAAACAGTTTCAAACCAGTTACTTCCTCCCTACAGCCCTGTCAAAGTATGACAAACAGTTCCTGGAACTATCTTGTTTTAGTTCCTATTATTCTTGAACAAAGTTATTGTGTCAATAGAAAATAATTTACATTCTTCACCTATGTTGTTGGCTTCACATTCCAATGTTTCTTGTCATTACAAGAATAGTGTTTTACAGAAATTTTTTTCTACAGTAGCAACTGACTTTTGGGGTGTCAATATGTCAATACTGGCTACGTCATGCAGAGCATTTTGCAGGGATTATTGACGTGATCATAAAGCCAAAATAATTCAAATACATAAAGGTCAATTTGATGCTGAGGGTATTTCTAATGCTTAAATCTAAGCATCACTCACGTTATTTAAGATTAAGATTAAGAATCTAACTGGATCCTTCCTGGAAAGGCAAGACAGGGATTCTTTTAATTTAAATGGATGAATAATTGTTATTTTCTCTCTCTCTCTCTCTCTCTTTTTCCAATAGCGGCTCTGATTCGAGGGAACCGTAAAAACTGTGCTCAATTTTCAGGATCTCTTGATTGGTTGATCAGCAGATTAGAAAGACTGGAAGCCTCTTCTGGTATGCTTTTTAGTATTTTAACTTTCTTATTTGACCAGCTTTTCATTCTTTAAAATTGGCAATATACTTGTTCAGTCTAATAATCATGAATTCTTCCTATGAGAGAATAAATTATATTAATAAAGTGATATTTATATTTGTAACATTTTAACATACTGATTTCAGTTGTAGTTCTACCTTAAGTTCTGGCAGTCTTTCCTTTTCCTTGGCCAGTTGGTTGTGACGTTATCTTTTAATTCAGGCAAACAAACTATTTGGCGAAACAGTTGTTCTGCAGTTTCAGTTGCATTAAATTGCTTCCTCTCCAATTCTAGTACCTTCCCTTCCCTTCTCTACATGTTTTTCAGGATTTGCATCAAACTAAATAGAATTGTAAATCCTATGGAATGGATATAATTTGTCTCTTATTGAAGGACTATAGTGGTAATGTAGGGAACTTCATGTATTCTACTGAATACGCATAATAGATGGGTCTTCAGAAAATATCTGTATGTTTGCGTCTAACAGTGTTATGTCCTTAATACATGCACATTCCCTTTTTAATCACCTCTCTCACTCCTGAGATCTGAACTTATGTCTGAAGTTAACAAGAAGGAGTGTGCCTGAAACACATTTATGATTTGAGAATATGGAAATTCTGTATCACTTCAGTCACAGATTCTTTAAACTAGCTTATTTATTTTCTTTGTCATTACCTAATGTCTTGTATTCCTCCTGAACCACTGTGTTAACCCCTTAGTGTCTATGAGATGACATTAGTCTCTGTGTTGCTCAAAGTGAAAGTAAATGACGTTATACTGAGCTGTACTGTATTTCTCACTGAAATGGTGATCCTGGGTTCTGTTTCCTTGGAAGCAATCTGTTCTCTGTTAACCTACTCTACCAACCAGATACATTGTATTTTATGTTTCCAATGGATTTTTTAAAAAAAACCACTGCAACTAAACTCGATCAAAAAACGTCTTTGGACAGAAATAATAGTGTGAACACTGCAAATTAGGTGAATGTAAATAATATCTTAATAATTTCTCTTGGTGGTATATGATTCCTATTGGCATTGACAGGTTGCTGTGTACTTCTTTACTGTCTTAAATGCAATTATTAACATGATTGTAGTCTATAACAGGACCTTAAAGATAGATACTGCTCTATTTTCTTTAAAAGTATGGGTTTGAAACATGCCACTGTAGTTTGATTTTGTAAACAGATGGTAGGCAAATCTCATTGCATTAAAGAATCTCTGCTAAGTGTATTGCAAAGTTACTAAAGAGATACTAGGACTATGTTTCTGCAATTAATAGTGTTGATTTCATGGGTGATACTTTAGTATATTGCCCCATTTTAGTGATATAAATACAAAGTTTTTCTCTTTTTTTTTTACATGAAGATTTAATTACTGATCTTTTCATCATGAAAATATGCCAAAATTATGTTGTCTAGGCATCTGAACAGTAGACAGTAATAAAACTTGGACCCAGCAGCTAAGAAATGAGAATCAAATAGAGTGATTAGTTCTGGACTCTCAAGACTGATTTCTGACTCTTCTCAAGCATGCTTTTCATAAAAGTGATTACATAAAGTTCAAAAAACTAAGTAGTACTCTTGGTAAGAAATGTCACTGCAGCCAGGTCCCCCCTCTTGTTTTTTAAGATTAGTAAAAGTATTTATTGGAATAAAAAAGCATGTGTAGTGTAAGGCCAGTGTTCTAATTTTTATTCTTACCAATGTAAAACTTCTTGGAGTTCTACAGGTTACAGCAGTAACTGAAAACATGGATCTGACATGGTGTGATCTTTTAATATCTGATTTTCTGATTAAGTGAATGATAGAACATGACAATTAACAAAATTATGAAAAAGGTGAAATAAGAAAAATGTTAACAGCTCTTTACAGAAAGCTTTATTTCTCACATGCACTAGTCAGAAAAGTTAAACAACAAGCAGGAGCACAAAGTCCAAATTAAGCTCTTATACCTGATAAGGAAGTTGCCTTGCAAATTATTCCTCCCTGTAAGTAAAAGTGAAGAGGGAATTACAGCATCATCAGTAATACAAATTGGAGAAGTTGTACATATACTGCACAGTAATATTAATGTATGAAATAATAACACAGTGAAAGCAATTTTGGTGTGAGACATTTAAACTTTTTATATAGGTCATTAACATAATCTAGAAGCATATATTTTCTGTGCCATTATACAAATCTTAAGTTGCACTACTAGGAGAAACCACTAAATGTTTATAAGAAATGTATTTGGAATATACCTTCTAGTATAAAAGTTGAGAAAATTCTATGTTTTAAGACAATAAAAAGTGAAAAATAGTTCTGTGGAGAGAAGGATTGTAAGCAACCAAGAAGCTAAAGACAATTTTGCAATGCAAAGTGAGATATTCTCAATTTCAATAGTTTCATTTTTTTAGTGACTGTTAATATAATTCTAATTTATTTTTTCTTTGTAATCTGAATATAAAATTGCAGTATAAAGATGTGTGATGTCCCATATAATTTGTATTAATCTTCAGTGCTCAGAATTGTAGTCCAACCAATTTAATAGAACCTCTTGTATTAAATTTAATAATAGTTTTACTGTAATATCAGATAGAGACTTGTCTTAGCCTGTCTCTTTTTTTAATGCTTGGTTCTAGCTACTGTGATTGATATCCTTTGTCTGATAACTCTTTGATCTTCTGTTTCTGGTTCATATTTATCTTTTCCCAGTAAGTGGAGATATCAAGGTGGAATTCAGGAGCTTATTATTAATAGCACACAGAAGGTATCTTTAATCGACTGCAGGAAGAGCAATGGATTTTAAAAATATTATAAGTGTAGCAATAGCTGTGTTTTAAATTTAAATTTTTATTGTCTGTTTTTTCATCTCTCTGTAGTTCATGCGTGCTTAGCTTTGTTATTACTATTAATACATATAATTTCCCCTGTTCTGTTCTCTGCTCTCACCCAGCTGGAGCTGGCTGAGTTACAGTTACAGACTAAGAAATGTTTTCCAGTTGCAGTTGTGACTGTTTTGTGTTATATATAATATTTGCTACTCTTTTGTTGGAAGATGGCCTCTTGAGAGTCTTTCAAGCCTTATTTTCTGTAATTATGGCACACTAAGTCAAAAGGCAGGAAGGTTTGTAGTCAGACCAACGGGCAGGATAGTTACAATTACAACTTTGAGAACAATGTAACACACCTTTCTGGTTGCATATTTGTAGTTTATTCCCATCATGTGGTTGTTTTAATGTTGTGTGTGTGTTGTTTCATCCACTGGAAGGAACATAATCTTCCTTTCAATAATAATTTTTCATTGATTACAGAGTTGTCCTCAGGAATTAAAATTTCCTTTCCCATCCTGTTCTTCCCACTCCTGAATCATATTTCAGCCATAGACAGACGTGTCATTGGATTCGTTGACATCATAAAGGAGGAATGCCAGGAAGGGAAGATGTCCTCCATTGTAAAAGTTCTTTGGTTTATATTAGACTGGTAGACATTTGAAAAGAAATATCACAGGCATAACACAGTTGTTCTCATCAGCCTTTTACTGTGGCATTAATATGTGAGAAATACCCTGCTATTGCTGAATACCCAAGAAGAAATTGGAGTTATCTCAGCTGCAGATCATCATTTGACATATATTATCAAATTTCTTACCTGAGTATTCAAAGGAGCAGCAGCAGCCATGAGAACAGATGTGTCCTATAGTAAAAAAGGTGAATAAAGTGTTTGTGTTCCCCTCAGCTTTGTCATTAAACATTTATGTGCATTTTGTTTATTTTACATAAATCTGTTCTTGAGATGAACTGACCAAGACCATGGGGAAAATGTTGTTACGTGTCAGTGGTAGGAGTGTTCTCCCTCTCAGAGCGAAGGGTGAACTGCCATATGGCATTCACTAGCCGATTGGCAAGATCTGCAGTTGGAAAAAAGAGTTATACACTGATGCCTCTCCTCTGTGAGGTTTTTTCCTTTGTCAACTCTTGGGGCAAGCAGAGAGTTTAGAAGTCAGTTATTCTTCTCTTGGGGTGGACACTGGTGTAGAGACTGAGGCATTTGCTTGTGTAAGCCCCTCTAGTCAAAAACGTTTCATAGAAGTATTTTTGCAGCATTTTGTTTCATGCTTTTGCTGCCGAACTATGGCTTTAGGGTGGGGGACCTGTTTTACTGTACTATTTCTTCCTACTCCTGGCATACACCTAATCTGTTTCAGTTGTGGTATATTTATTCTCTGAATCCTTCAGCTGCTTGAGGTATGAGGCAACAGGAGCATATGTGAGGATACGTCCATATCACTTCTATAGCTCTCAGCTGGTGTTACAGGTACTTAGCTGCTCATAGCACCCATGTCTAGTTAGCAATTTGCTTATAATCCTATCACTGTAGCTAGTATACTAGTGTACAGATCCTAAGCAAATTGTTTTCATAACTGAATGTTCATGTTGTTTTACATTACTGTTAGGGAAACCTGTTCTGCAGATGTCATGATCTTCTTGCTTTCATGAACATTTGAGTAACAGAAAATTGAAACTGAAACAAGCATTTTAAAAATGACAAATTCACAGGCTAGATCTTTCTTCCACTACAGTCCACCTTTGGTGTGAGAGCACTCATCTAAGGAGAATGTTCTCAAAATTATGCAGTTGCATGGGATTTGACTGCAACCTTCCTAATTTCAATGTATTTCTCAGTTGTTCACAGTGAAATTATTTCCTAAGGGACGTAATTTTACATCTGAAACTCTCAGGGCTAGGTTTTTCAGGAATGATTTAAAACTTTGTGCTCAACTTCTAGAGGTTCAGTAAGAAATTTGTTACAATAGCTCTAAAAGTGCTGTGCTACATGGTTTCTGTTATGTATGTATTTTTAAAAATTAATCTCAAAGTAAAAATAAGGTTGGTAAATTAAAACCTAAATATTTATGTTTATGATATTTATAGTAATGTGTGAGATTAATTCTGTAAACTGCAAAGTAATCTGACATTATAGTTGTACTGCATAAT